CCATAAAAAAACTTTATACTGCTCCTTTCTTTAAACTTTTGGTCGGAAGTTTAACATACTTTCGTGACCTACTTTTCTGCCCCATTGGCATACAGCATAAAATGCTAGCAGAAAAATCCGCTCAAACATCATTTTCGGGTAAAATTAAACATTGCCTTTTGGTAATTCACTTAGTTATACTACACTTGAAACTATATGCTGGCATTTGGTCGGTTTTTGTGGCAAAAAATTGACTTTGTATGCATCTTTAATGCTCTTTACTTTCTCTTACAGATGCCTGATGTTGCTCTTTCAAAACCAGGTAACAAAATTGTCATTTTCCTTTTCGTAGAATATTGCACTCAGTCTACTAGACATGCTGTGTATACCGTTGCACGGTCTTTATTCTTAATAATTCGGCTCTATAAAAGCGGCTTGTTCTTTATAGACTTTTAGACTTTCCCTCACGTTCTTTTATAGTGGTTCCTTTATACAGGGCACATCTACGTCCTGGTCGTGTTCCTAGTAGTAAGTAAAATTGGTTTACGGAGAAAAATTGTGATTAGTTTTATGAAAACACATTGATGCAGGGTACAGAGTACAATTGCAAGCCATGAGACAAAACAACCAAGAATTTAATTTAGAGGCCTCTCATTTAGAGTAGAATGCCCTTTGGCTTTACAGTAAGCCAAGTACAATTTGTGCATCAGTCAATTATAACCCAAGACTTTAACCACAACAATTAAGTACAACATGCTACAATTTGAGTTGATGATTACATGAAGTATTTAATGGTTGATGTGTTATAGAGATAATCGTTTGTTTTTACTTGCTGATTAGATATTTGTAGTTCTTGTATGGTTGCCAGATTATTTTAGGTGTTCTATTGTTTTATTTCACAGCTCAAGATTCATACGACGACATCAGGACCACTCTGTTTTTCGCAATTGATGAGCACGGACCCATTGTCGAAGCAAAAGAAGTTGGGATTTACATCATTAACGAAATATTACAACGTAAGACACCCCACAGGTCATCTTATACTTTAATTTGGATGACCATAAGCACATGTTATCTTTAAAAATGTGGGTTCCATTGAGAAAACTACTTCATTCTTTTAAATTTAATTATTTTTTTTATAACGTTTTTACTTTCTTATGTCAATCAGATGCCTTGAAAGAAGACGTACGTTTATTTCATCTGAAAGGGTCAACACAGGAGCCGAATTTGAGGAAATTGAAAAAAGCAATTCGTGAGTTTGTCTTTTTTTGTTTAATTTACCTACACAGTAAATATTTCTGTCCCCAGAGTGTGTCTGAAATTCCCTAACAAAAAAGTGTAACCCCCTTATACAGTGCAAATGGTAATACAGGAAATCATGTTATGAACCAAGGTTATTTATTCAACTTATAGCAGGAATTTTTCACAAACATTTACTGATTGTACAACCAATGAATATAATAACCATAATAAATAAATCACATTCCAGTATTTTGACCAATGTCTTCTACATGTAGATTGGAGGACGCACCTGGAGTGTCTGTGCATAGAGTCATACTGTTTTGTAAGGTTTGTGCAGTGATGTCGTTCCACATACTGTGCAAAGATAGCATGATATCATTTTTATTTTCCTGGTTATCAGTCAGTTATCCATATTTCCCACACAATCTTAACGAGGCTATGATTAAGCTGGTCATTTGGGGGTATGGATCTGGCTTGCTTATAACCACCGTACTGTTGCATTGGTTGAATGTGGAGTAGCCTTGCCATGTTGAAACATGCATGTAAATGGATAGTCAGGGTCTCCAAAGATATTCTCGACTGATTACATTCCTTTCTAACACTTTGATGCAAAGGCCTGTCTTAAGGTTCCCGGTAACCACTGCTAGCTCGAGTTTTTCTTTGGTAGGCCCTACCCAAGCATTCTAGCCCCTGTGTCTGTTTGGTTATGATGTTTCAAACCCTCAGAATGGCTCTCATGGAAGAACCCAAACTTCTGGGCATTTTGGGCGGTCAATACTCCTTCCTTATCCAACTGCTTGGTAAAAATGTGCGTTCCTCTCACTCACATATATAAAAGATTTGGTGTTGGGGTATTTCAGTGGTTACGCTCCATTTTCACGATGATCAGTTGTTAAGTTGTTTATGTAACAGAAAAATTAATTAAAACTTTGAGTACTGGGCATCTTCAGGGTTCATTTGTCGTTGATAAATAAATGAAGAGGCCAAGTAGGAGGTCTGAAAGATCTTGGGACAAGATATCAGTGCTTTTAGTTTTTTTTCTACATATATATACCGAAAGCAATTTTACTTTTTTCAATTATATATATATATATATATATATATATATATATATATATATATATATAACCCTATATATATATATATATAATATATATATATATAACCCTATTATATTCTTGCAGGTGAGATGGAACCGAGAGGCACAGATACACTTGTCCAAAAGTTTCTCAGTGTTTTAGAATTTGTAACAAATACCGGTATTAGAAGTTGCACGCCATCTAGGACAGAAGCAAACCAGCTGAACAGACTCATTGTTTTGTCAAAGGTGCCCAATGATGATAGGCCTATGTCACAGGTGCGTTTACTGTAACAATGCAAGAATGATCGGAATCTCATAAAGATACATTTAAAACATGCAGCATGATTGATCTGCAAATTAAAAAAAAAACGTTGCATCTTGGAAAAAGGTTTTAATCGGATTTTCTCATCTTTCAACGTGGAATACCTAATGTACCTAATGCATTTTATTCCTTTGTTTTGTTTTATCTTCAGATGGTCAAAGGTGTCCAAGATTTTGTAGAAAAAAAAGTCTTGGACAAAACTCGCATACACTTTTTATTTTTGGGTGAGGAACCTACAGTGGTAAGTGTTTGGTTTTTATTGTCTTTTCAGATGATTAGTAAAGTTGTCGATTAATGCCCTTATATTATTCCTAAAAATACTGTTAAATATTATTTACATAACTTGAAATGACAAACAATTGCACAGGTGATGTCACCCAATACATAAAATATTCGAGTATTTTGAAGTGCCTAAACTTTATATACAAAACAAATGGTTACATGTATTTAAATGGCATGTGTCCCCTTATTTGTCTAAACTTTATTAAGCTGTTCATTTTGGCCAAAATGGATTTTCCTATGGTAAACACAACTTCCCCATACTTACCAATGGTTAATGAAGCCGTTTCGACATACAAAGTTAATCGTTTTTTTAAATAACCTATTAAGAAAAAAGAGTAAAGGTATCTGTGAAGGTCACGTGGTCCGATGGCAAGCACATATTAATCAATAATTACGATAATTAACAGCCATTTTGGAGAATTTATTTAATTTTTATGAGTTTTTTACAGAGTACTTACGAAGAGTTGTTATCCTTTTAATATTAAGAAAGCATGCATATTTAACCAAATCAAACACCCACAAGAAAAAAAAATTCATTACAGTACAGAGGTGCTGCAGAACATTGTCAAGAGATAGCTACATTGACAAATGGCAGCACATTCTTCTTACGCTGCGACGAGGTCGGCTCGTTGGAAAATAAATTGGGCAGATGGTTCAGAGGTACCTGGAGAATATCATCGAGTGCAGCAAAGGTAAAACCGACTATTTTAATAATAATTAATAAAAAGTTAATATTAAATTTAAACGTGTGTGTTACATTATTTAAAGTTGATCTTTATCATGACAATATGCGACTGTTGTGGCAGTACAGGTTCACTTGTATCCGAATCAAAAACAGCTGATTTTATTATTATTCTCAAACATTTCATATTGGAATCATAGTATGTAATATTGGTCTCCCTCTCCCTCTTTTGCAATATTTGAGCAAAATGTCGCAGTGTCACAACTTGTATCTTTAGAATATATATATCAAATATATTATATATTATCAATAATCGTTGGCTGTCTTGCCTAATTATAGTTTCACGCAGACGAAATAGAACCGCATTTGGCTCCACTTTGTGACGGCAAACCTACTTCCATGGATTTGGATGGCAATGCATAAAAAAAGACTACTCAAAATGAGAAGGGTCCAGATTCTAGGCCTGATAGACAATCATTGGAGAACCAACCCCATAAAAACGTGGACCAACTCCCCCAACTTGTTTAAGAAGAATGGGACAATATCCCACAAAACAGAATCGTAACCCGTGTTGAAGGCTTGTCGCGCCGTCTACAGGAGATAATTGCAGTACGCGGAAGACGCACACGCTGTTAGGCACGTTACCTTTAACGAGCACACCCTAATGCTAATTGTGTGTGTGTTTGGTGACACTTGACGAAGTCTTTTCAATTTTATAGACATCTGTAGAAGTCACAGTGAAACAGTCGATTTGAGGGGGTACCTCTTATAAATTTTACTAAATGGTATAAAATATGTATATTTTCACCACTATTTTGTATTTTTTAAACCATTTATCATGTTAGACACGGTATCCGTAATAAAAAGCACTATTTCTAACAATTTACAGCTGTCAGGTGATCATTTGTAAATAAAAGTACATGGAAATGGGGGGTGGGACAACCTTTTTGACCAATGTTGTATATAATACAGAATTGCAATAGTCCAACCTGGAAGTTACCAATGAGTGTAATATCGCCTGAGGTGTTAGATCAATCCGCATTTGGAGAACATTCCAAGCCCATGGTATTAGTACAGTGTTCCTTTTGGAACAAAACGTAACAGGGGTATTTTAATGTAACATTCTCAACAGAAATCTCACTCCATTTGCAAGAGGTGACTTCACGGATGCTACTGGCATCATTGTGACAACGCACTTGCTCACATCTCTCGTCTGGCAAACGATTTGTTGCAGAAACACAGGGTTCTGAGGATGGGACAACCGTCTTTGAGTCCTGATATTAATCCTACTGAGCACCTGTGGCAGGAATTGGAATGTGCATTGCAGAGGAGAACCAATTCCTAAATAATCTTGACCAATTCCGCCACGCTCTTCAGGATGAATGGGACAATATCCCACATAACAGAATTGTCTTGCTTCCGGAAAACAAGAAGATAACCCTCTTTGTTGTTTGATACAGCTATCTTTATTTCCAACAAAGGAATGTGGTAAAAAACTGAAATAAAATAAAGAAAACCTATGTCAAAATGCTGACGATGACATTTCTATTACTTATTGTGGCACTTACAGGCCACCGTACCTTACAAAACTAGCGTGAAACGTGCTGCATTCTTGCATTGACAAGTTTTAACGTGAATACATAATAAAAGCAGTTTACAGATACTAAAAATGTTCTTTACACAACCACAATTATCAAAACTATATAAAATGTGGAAAACTCACGGTGTGCGTGGCCTATCTTTAGAAAAAACTCTGAACAGTTCACTAGCGGCTGCTGATGAGCGAGCATGGAGCCTCGACATGAAAAACTAGGTCAAATACGAAGGCCCGTAACAACACACTCCTCGCCTGATATCTGATTGATATCACTATTTAACTACTACAATAAAAGTCAACTATAAAATAGAATGCACAACATATACTAAATTTAGTCCTAACTTAGCCACTAAATTTGTAGTGTTTTGCTATTAAATCCCTCCTACATGTTCGCAACTTTACCAACTGTCAATCAAAAGAATAAGTTCACATATTGGTCTGACATATTTCACAGATTTTCCATCTTTCACTGTTCTGACCTCCACAGTTCTGACTTTACTGTCACATCCACTGGGAAAAACATTTTCTACTACTCCTATTGGCCAACTGCCTCGATGTAACTCACAGTCTCTGAGCAGCACAATGTCACCGATTTTCAAGTCTTTCTGCGAAGCTGTCCATTTCCCTCGCTTTTGTAATGACTGGAGATAACCATCTCTCCATCGCTTCCAGAACGTATTAGAAAGGATCTGCACATACTTCCATTGTGACTGGTATATTTCTCTCATATCTGTTGATGTGGTTGGGGTAGGTAATGGCTCCTTCTTCTGTGTAAGCAACATTGCTGGCGTGATGATTTCTGGGTCCTCTGGATCATAGGAAATGGGAGCCACAGGTCGAGAATTAATGACAGCACTAACTTCACACATAAAAGTAACTAGAACTTCATGAGTAAGCTTTTGGGTATGGCTGGTTAAAAACATAGCATCGAGTATTCTTCTGGCGAGACCAATAAGACGTTCCCAGGCTCCACCCATGTGTGATGCATGCGGGGGATTAAACTTCCACACAATTCCCATGTCATGAAGGCTTTCTTGCACTGGACCATTTTCAACAAAGATACCTGTGGCTTTAATCTGATCCAGAGCACCTATGAAATTTGTGCCACGATCCGATCTGATCATTTTCACTGGTCCACGGATGGCTACGAAACGTCTAAGTGCATTGATGAAGGACGAAGAACTCATTTCTTCTATAACTTCTATGTGCACTGCCCTGGTAACTAAACAACCAAAAATCAGGGCCCACCTTTTACTTTCAGCCTGACCACCTCTTGTTCT